TAATTCAAAAAGACACATGCACCCCAATGTTCATTGCAGCACTGTTTATAATAGCCAGGACATGGATGCAACCTAGATGACCATCGACAGACGAATGGATAAAGAAGATGTGGTGCATTACAATGGAATATTACTCAGCCATAAAAAGGAATGAAATTGGGTCATTTGTAGAGACGTGGATGGATCTAGAGACTGTCATACAGAGTGAAGTAAATCAGAAAGAGAAAAACAAATATCGTATATTAACGCATGTATGTGGAACGCAGAAAAATGGTACAGATGAACCAGTTTGCAGGGCAGAAATAGAGACACAGATGTAGAGAACAAACGTGTGGACACGAAGGGGGGAAAGCGGCAGGAGGGTGGGGTCGTGGTGGGATGAATTGGGAGATTGGGATTGACGTGTATACACTAATATGTATAAAATAGGTAACTAATAAGAACCTGCTGTATAAGAAATAAAATTAGGAAAAAAAAAAAGAAATCACAGGTCTCTTTCCCTGACAGCCTGCCCGACATGCTCAGGGCAGAGTCTGCAGAACAGAAAGGTGTGCTGAGGTCTGATTTCATTTTCTGCCAGGACACCACGCCATGAGAAGGATGGCAACCGCTTACTTGGTGCTGGGTCTTATTCTCCAGGTGCCCCAGCTTCGTGTTCATCTTATCCTGAACCGACACCAGCTCTGCTTTGATCTCTTCCACAGTTGCCTCCAACTGATTCTCCAGCTTGTTGATCAGGGGTTCACATCGACAGCCATTTATTGGTGCCTAAGAGGGAAGCCAAAAAGGAATCAATCCAAGTCGTTCGTTCCTTCTGAAAACATGTGTCTGTCAGTACACCAGGGGACCACACGTGATGGAGGAGACTCATCCCTGTGGTAACTTTGGACTGACAGGCCAAGCCTTGGCTCTGTAGACGTTAAGAAGATTCAGAGAGTGTAACGTACGGTCCCAGTCCTCAAGCTGCTTTTATCCACTATCCGGCCTCAAGGTTATCTATGCAGTACCTAAGGATGGTGCAGAGAGCTTTGTAACATCCCTGTGCTCTCCAGGCCTACGTGGCAGGAGGGTACTGCACAGTTTAGGTGGGGAGGGCCAGCTGGCTTATCTTCAAAGCTCATGCCTTCTGTAGTCACCGCTGAAAGTGGACATTAGCCCCCAGCAACAGGGTTACACAGACACCTCACTTACAGCCTACAGTCCTGCCCTGACAGGGCCCGGCAGGTACCTGCATCACTTTGCCATCCTTGCCCCGGTACAGCGTGTACAGCTGGTACGCTCTGAACTCGTGGGGGGCACCTGGGGGTGAACAGCGATGCCTGGGCCTCTTTTTAGGGTGACTGTGAGTGTGCGAGCTCTTCTGCTGTCCAGGCTGCTGGTCTGCTGGTGGGGTGGGGTCAGAAAACGCTGACGCCTGTGGGAGAGAAGGCGACAGCCACCCTGAGCGCCGTGACATCTGCAAGCCTGATGCCCAGCCGGCGGCTCCCGTCTGGCCCGCCTTGCTAGTCTCTCAGCGTTCTACGCCAGGTATGTGTCAAAAGAGTCGTACCAGCATGCTTACCTTGTGTCCACAGCCGGCCAGGGCCGATTTCTGTGCTCTGGCTCCAAACCAGCAAGCAAGCCAAGTGCAGTGGCTTTTTAGCTGCTGGGCATGACGCTATCCCAGGGCCCTCCGCCAGCCCTCCTCCCAGCCCTCTTGGCAGCTCTCACGTGCCTCCTGACCTTGGGCCTTGACTTTTTCTGCCTGTTGTCCTTTGCTCTGGGCTCCGGGGAGGCAGACAGGAAATCTTCTCTGGACTCTTCTTTTCTGGGTACAGCCTGTTCACTGCTATGGGTGTCTCCTGCTGAGACACTTCCCTACAGAGGAAAAAAAGCCCAGAAACCTCTTCTCCTTGGTCCCCCAGCCTTTTTCAATAATGGCATAAAATTTCCCAGCCTCCATCCACTAAAGGACCCCTGGGAATCTTTTCCAATGACAAATTTCAGACATAGGAAGCACTGCTTGGTGGTTTTAACTGAACACCTGTGCTTTTCCTGGTAAGTTGAATGTTTGGTTTTTCATTTATTAGGTGCCAAACTAGATATTGCCTTGGGTCTAACTCTGTGTTCTGCAACTTTAGGAACGTAGTACACACAAAACACCTCAGCATTAGAGATTTTTTTGGTCTTTTACATTTCAACAAGAAGACAACGCCACTCATTCTTTGATCTTGGACCCTCACAATTCACAGAGGAGAGTGAGGACCTTCTGAAATGAAAAAAAAAAAAAAATCACATTTCTGGTCCTTGTGAGAACTTTTACAAGTTAATATGTACAATTCGCACACAGGAACCAATGCGAGTTACAATGCCTTAACCCTGGAAACTGGTAAGATTTTCAAACAGAGAGAAAAACAAATAGTTGGTATAAAATTTTATGTGCCAGAAGTTGTCTCTATATCCTAGTCTTCTTCCTGGGAGAGTTGAAAGGCATGGTTCACTCCAGGGCTGCTGTGTACAGCTGTGCAAGCTGTTCACTGCACAAAGGCACCTAGCCGAGTGCATGAGTGGGGCTGAGGGAGCTGAAGTCCACCTTGGGCTCTATTCGCCATACGTGCCCTGTGCTAGGCTGGTCTGCCCAGAAGGCATCTTTTTCTAATTTGCACAGAGGAGCCGTATGGGCTAGCACAGCCTCTGTTCACTCCCTAAGCGGAAGGAGAGGCAACAAGCTACGCCACTGGTCCTCCAACTGTAGTCCACATTGGAATCACCTGGAGGGCTTGTTCAAACACAGATTGCTGGGCCCTACCCCAGAGTTTCTGATCCAGTGGGTCTGGGGTGAGGCCCCCAAATTTGCACTTCTACCAAGGCTCCAGGTGACAAGGTTTTCACATTTTGAAAACCTCTGCTCTACACGATGAAGGGTGTGGTGCCAGAGAGGCTGTGCTGTCCACATGGAAGCGACAAGGCCACGGATGCACAGGGCTCGCAAATACAGCCACACAGGGTGCTGGAAAAGACGGGTGGCATGAGAGTACACGGCCTGAAATCGTGGAGAGGAGAAGACAAGAGGCTAGAAGGAAAGACGGACAAGATTTGAAGGACCCCGAGGAAAGGAGAGACAGAGGAGGGCCCGGCAGCCGCCAGACGGGCCCGGAGGAGGCAGGGAGACAGTTTCCCACCCTGGAAGTGGGCGGGAGGGCTATCCCCCCACCTTGCTTTGTGCCACATCATCTCTCGGCACAGACTGAGCTCTCCTCTCTTCCTTGAGCCTCTCTCTCTTTTTCCTCAGGCTTCGCCCACGACTGAAGCGCAAGACCTGAAGGAGGCAAGAGGCATCGTTACAAACCACTGGTGTGCGCGGACCTAATGGAGCCTCCAGCTGAGCAGGGGGAGACCAGGCGTTCACAACAAACAAGCGCCTCTAGACCACCCACTATGCCTCCTACATCCTGTGCTGGGCGCTTAGGGTCCCAGAGACGGCAGGACATCGTTCCTGACCTTGAGCTCACAGTCTAGGACAGCAACACTAACAGGCACTTAGCGATGGGCCAGGGCGTCCACGTAGGTGTGAGCAGGCCGTGCACGGCTCAGCTCCAGGGAGCATGGCTCACATAGACTAGGATGTGAACGGTGTCCCCTGGAGTTGTGTGACACAGCAGCCCTGTGCCAGGCACGGTCTATCTTGGGACACTGGACCTGATGTAGCCCATCAGATTTTCTCTTGGCCAAACTGTATCCAAGTCATATTCAAACATAACTTTAATTCAAGCCTAACTGAGATGTACCTGTGAGCCATGGTACCAACCACGGGGCAGGAGTCTCTTCCCCCAAAAGAAGGCTGTGGTCTGCCCCTTCGAGGGCAGAGAGGTGGAATGGACACAGGCAAGTACACGTGGGATCCCACAGGCCCAGAGATGCCCAGCAGCAGCTAGCTGGGGATCTTCAGGCAAGTGATTTGACCTCTCTGTGCTCCGTCTTCTCAACGTGAGAATGGGGAGCTGCCGGAATTAACCGAGACAACGTAGGTGGCCGGCGCGCCTTGGACCAGTGGTCCCTGGGGGCCTTAGAGTGCTTAGCTGGCAGAGATGGTTAATCACGGAGTGCAGACCTGTGCGCTGGTGGAAACCTGCAATCCCTGGCTCAGGTCCACACCCTTCTCCTCCAGACTCCCTACTCCTAGCTCCAGGGTTCACCCCCCTTACAAAACCCAAGGGGGTACAGACGGTGAAAGCCCTTTCAAGGCCACACTATCTTTCTGCAATAAAACAATATTTTACTGTCTTCTTATATAGATAGATAAGGGCTCTCTGAAGTTCAGCCTAGTGTTTTGCATCTCAATGTCAGACTTCCTTCTTGTGTTCATTAAATTCAAGTGACACATTAGAGGACAAAAAAATCCTCCACGGGCAGTGGGTACCTCCTAAACGGAGAATTCCTGACAATACCTGCCTGCAGCTGAACCGGATTTTTAAATTATATACTCATCCCCTAAAGCCAGCAGTTCTGGAAGTGTCCAGGGACCTGAGTCCGTGAGGTTAAGATTATTTTCATAATATTACAACATTGGCATTTNTCATGCTCACTCTCTCATGAGCGTACTGTGGTGTTTGCCAGAAGCCACGTCAGTGACATTACAATAGACTGCACGCAGCAATAAAAGGTGACAGAATTCTAAGACAGTAAGGACGTGAGCAAACCATGTCAAACAATGCTACTCTTCTCATTTCTGTTTTGAAAAAGTCCTTTTTCACAAAATGATGCTATTTATGTTGCTACAAAATGGACTTATTTTTAAATGAATATCTTTAATATTTCTAAATTTTATTTTCAAATACGGTAATTATTGATAGATATAAACTCACATAAACAGAGCTCTTTATGGGCCTCCGTAATATTTAAGGAAGTAAAAGGGTCCTTAGACCAAAAAGGTCTGAGAACCAATGTCCTCAGCTAAATTTTAGACTCAGTAAGAAGTCGAGTCTGATGAAGGGTAGTAAGGCCCGTTGCTCATCTGCTTTATAGACACTTAGAACAGGACACAGCTCCAGAATCAGCCTGAAATTCACTTTCCAAAGCATTTGTGAACCACGTCAATCAAAAATAAGAAGTAACACTCACTTCACCCAAACACAAGATAATCAGAAAAATTCCCGCCATAGACCATGTTATTAGCCAATGAAAATAACTCTGCATGGCTCCCAGCCTTTCTCAGGCCATCCACCAAATGTACCATCATCCATCTTTCCCACTTCACAGAAATCAGGAAATATTGATCTTAAGGGCTCGGAAAGAAGTATCCTCTTAGTACTGCTGTGAACCATCAAAATCCATGGTCAACTAAAGTGCCAAGGCAAGGGGATTTCTCGTTTCAGACAAGACCATTTCTATAACCACAGATCAACAGGACAGTATGCATGCAATTTTATGCATATTCCAAAGCTTTTTCTTTGCACTGAAAATAAGGGTTAGTATGTACAATCATGTAAAAAAACAAAAACTTTAAAAATATCCTATTTATTTGCTGTTCAATATGGGTGTGGAAAAACTAGCTTAAGTCATTTTTTTTTTTAATGGAAATGCTAAAGGAGAACCACACAGGAGAACAGTCCACAAGACAGCTTTATCCCCGGGAATCAAGATTCCTAGGCTCTGGAAGATAAATGACAGGCAGGTTAAAGGCACATCAATCCTCGTGCGCCAGAGGACCCTCCATCCCACAAGACTTGATGATCCTCACGTGGCTGAGCACGGAGCCAGCTGTCCATCAAACTGCCAGGCACTGAAATGCCAGGTAACTAACGGATTCTGACACTTATATAGCACCCTGTCCTTTTTTTTTTTTTTTTTTTT